GCTGTTGTGATGAAGTGTTTTTTATGCCAGCGTAATAGTGCCCCTTTACTCTTTCCCTTATACATAAGCAGTGGCGTAGCCAGGATCGTCTCAAGGGGGGGGGGGTTCCAATTTTTACCCGGGGACAAACTTTCGATTTGCAACCCCCCCCCCCTCATACTTTCGATTTGCACCCCCCCTCATACTTTCGATTTGCACCCCCCCTCTCAAACTTTCGATTTGCACCCTCTCATACTTTTTATATATACCGAGGGGTCTATGGGGGGTTATGACCCCCCCTGCCTACGCCACTGTACATAAGACATTTTGCTTATGTATAAATTGCTGAAGTTATTATAATCCATGGCAATTTGCGTCGAGTTAAGTTTAAAAGAGAATCTAAATTTATATACTATGCAATATATATATATAATATAATACTTTACAATATAAAAATACTGTGTGTGTGTGTGTGCGTGCGTGCGTGTGCGTGCGCAGCGTCTGCTATAGACTACCTTGTTCGCGATTTATATTCACGCAAGACCTTTCTAAAAACAATTGACGCTTTTAATCTGCGGAAATCACCGTACGCTAAAACCCCTGAAGGAGATTGGCGCAATTTTTTTTTTTTTTTGCGTCATTAGAAAGTTAAGTGTCCGCGCAAATGTTGGTGCTTCATCGGTTCCAGCCTGTAGACCTCGAACAAGCGGAACAAACGGCGCTCATTCTCACCCGCCGGCGAAAAACAAACAGCTCATTTCGAACTCGACTCCGCGGACCTCCAAGACGTCACTGAACTCGGCGTAGCTGTCGACGGCGTTGGTTGAGAAGCCTGGAGGGGGCAAGTAAACACCTTCTGCTAATTACCTGGCCATTGTTTCTCTCACGCCACGAGCAGATTTAATGACATTAAAACACACTCTCTCTGCACTTTATAATAATAAAAAAAAAATTAAAATAAATAAAATAAAAAACCCTCGCATTGATTAATGTTTAATTTTTTGTTCTCTCCCTTACTCATAAATCCATTGTAATGGCCGGCGTTCTGATGGGAATTGTAGATTAGTCTGACAGGTTCCAGGACGCCTGCAGGTTCTCTGGTCGGCGGCTCAGTTTCACCCCTGGCGGGCGGCAGGTAGTAGTGCCGGCCTGGGAGGGGTATCGGGTTCTGGAATCAAGTGCCCTTTAGGGGAGGTTTTAACACTAAACAGCTTTTAGCGCTTGTAACGGTCTAATTATAGGGATTTGCATAGAATAAATTCATACACATGTATACACACACCCACACACACACACACACACACACACACACATATATATATATATATATATATATATATATATATATATATATATATATATATATATATATATAATATATATATATATATATATATAGACAATTACTGATGCATTTATGCCTAAAATTTAGGCCTAAATGTCTGTAAATGTGTACATACATACAAACACACACATACACGCATGCATCCCCCACCCTCACACGTAAACATGCACAACACCATCCCGTGTCGCATGTTGTGATGCTGTCGAAACTGTGAGGAGTTTGAACTTGCAAAAAATGTGAAAGTTTCACGAAAGTTAAGTTGTAGAGGGGATGGAACCAGGCGTTGTTACTGATATAGCAATATAAAGAGACACCTCAACGCCAAGGGTAGACATAGGTACATAATATAGTCCAAGTAGTTGGCTAAAGTGGTTACACGCCTGATTTGATGCATGGAAGACTAGGTGATTTGGTGCCGCGTGGATTGGTAGATTCGGATCCACTTGGGGTTAAAACTGCTCTGTCTTTACTTGGACTATATTCTGTACCTCTGTCTACCCTTGGCAATGAAATATGTCTTTTTGTTTATATTGCTACAAAATTTAAGGGTGTCTTGCTCTAACCTAATTCAGTGAAAAACAATATTGGTGCCGGTAGCTAAATAAATTATTTACTTCATACAAAATCTGTAGAGTGCATCTTCAGTTTTGGCGAAAATAATCTTGGATATTGCGTAAAGCAAATTATTTACACCCAGCGTATGTTGAACTATTTGCCGTTCAGACATTACAAATAAATGTTATCGATAGACGTGTCGCACTTATATACGTGTATATCAAATAGAAAAGTTATGGGGGAAAAGGGCATTAAATTTATGTGCTTGCTCAATAGCACATAAAAACACACCACCAAAAGGACCAGTTCTAATTAAATGAACATTTATTGAGCAATATCGTGTGTTCACTTCCCTGCCCCCGAGTAAATTAACTCACCTTCCCATACCATTTATTCTTTCAATCGAGTTTTTTTCCCCTTTTTTTCCATTAAAATCCAATTTCTAAAATAAATAAAAATTGTCGACAGCTGTTTTAGCTCTATGTGCGTGTCATCGCAGGTTTTCATGGACTCTTCATTATGAACATTCAACTTAAATGTCTTTTAACACACAATTTATAGCTGGACACGAAATTTAAAGTCATTCAACACAACCCGTCCCCATCTCCACCCCCACCGACCCCACAAAAATTAAAATAAAAAAACAGCTTTCATCGTAGTTCAACCTGTCGCTCTTCATCAAGTAGTTTGTCTTTCATCGATTAGAGAAATATTAAAACGAATGCACTGAGGAAAGTCGAGATTTTCTAATCAAGAAATAAAGAGGTGTCAGCCCATAAAGATGGTAAAGATGGCAGGTAAATGAGGGGTGGGGGGATGGTGTGCACAGGTAATTACAGGTGGGTGTTGGGGGTGAGATGCAGGGGCCTTTGTGTGAGAGGGAGCGCGCGTGCTTGTGTGCATTTTTTTCTCATTTGTTGTGGGTGAGTTAAAAAAAAGATGCATGCGTCGTGCAGGGTGTGGTGGTGGTGTGTGTGTGTATTTTTTTCTCATTTGTTGAGGGTGAGTAAAAAAAAGATCCACGCGCCGTGCAAGGTATAGTAGAAGATGAGTTGATACAGCGAGACGTACAGTGTGGCGTGTGAGTTGACGTCCAACGAGACGTCTATCATTGTCATGACAAATTTGTCGTCCGACATTTTGTCCAGAGACTCACGAGTCAGGGGGGGGGGGGGGGGGACTATGGTGCCAATTATATAACTGCAATTGTGACCCGTATTCGAACCTTAATCACTGTGGTTAGAGAAATATCGGTTGACCGCACAAAATATCAACGCAAGTTAAAGTTTATTAAAATATATTCAGAATTGATTCTGTAAACATATCGTTTATTTAGTATTCGTTTTTACCAAATACAAATAAAGGTTTGAATGACATTGAAATGACATGATTAAATTAAACTGTTGCAGATGGAGGTCATCAATTAATAACGTCGCGCTTTTTAAAACGATTTCCACCACCCAATCTCCATCTTCACACAACTTTCTAAAAACAGACCTCATCTCCCCCTTCCGCCCCCCCCCCCCCCTCAAAATGTCGAAAATAAATCAATTTCTTTAAAAACAATGTTCTTTTTAAAACTCGAACTAACGGGAAAGATTTAGATTCAAGCATTACTTTTTAAAATGTGAAACTGTCGTCAGTCTGTCTAAAACTCCCCGCCCCCTCGACACACTCTGTTAACGGTCCCACCCTAGCCCTTACCTTTTCAAGTCTGACTTCCGTTTATGCACGTGCCCTAAAATTGTTACTCAACTTAGATATAACTTTAAGGTATATAAATATAATACTGACATTTGGAATTGGGAGTAACAATAGAAGAACGCAATAATGACATCTAGATGTACACTTGAGAATGACATATGGGTAACAAGATAATGACATCCTGTGGATATCACAACTTTAATTGTATACATGGGAAAGGCATCAAGGGTAGATATCAATGACATTATATCTTTAAAATGACAGTTAGGATTGACACTTGAATAACATGATAATGACCCACGGTCTATATTAAGGGCGGGGTCCTTCGGGTCGCGCAGTCATCTTGAAAAATTTCAAATATTTTTGTATAAATCGTGTCAAAAGTAGCGCTCAAATTAAATAGAATTTTTACATCAGGGTTTGCTCCTTACAAGGAATGCTGCTAATAATACAATCGTACCCCAATAATGACATAAATATTTCAGATAAGTATAATAGTTTTAGAAATAGACAATGGAAAGACATATAATGACATCGGAATGTCGAAATATTGACATCCGAATGACATCAGTATCCGAGTGAACAGGCGTAATATTTTCAGAAGTAGCGAAATGACATATAATGACATGGGAGTGTCGTAATAAAGCCAGCCGAATAACAGGCGTATTGATACTTTGAAGACACACTAACTCGGATGGAACCAATAAGTTTAAAGAAACGACATAGTTATTACATAAATAATGACAATAGAATGTCATAAAACTGACATCTTAATGTTACGTTACCGTAAGCTAAGGCTCAACCCATTAAGTGGCGTCACAAGGTGGAGGCGGGGGTGCGGTCCGTCCCGGGTTAGACCATTTAGATGGTGACACCGAGACGAAAAATTATAAAATTTACTGTCAAAACATAGTTTTACACAGTTAAGATTACAAAATGGGCTCAAATCAGTCCACCCATCTCTGATTGGTACTTAACTCACTGTAGGCATAATGCAGACCACATCATATCCTTGTATGCCGAGGTCATTGTAACAGATGAACTCTACTTCATCTGCCCCATGTGTATTGAAAACAAAAGGGAAAAGATAAAGATTACAAAATAGTAATGGTCAAACACAAAAAAAATGCAAACATTTTGGAGGAGGGTGCGGTGACACCCTCAGTTACCGCACCGGCTGACACCCCGACCTAGTGACGCCACGGTACCCATCAGTGTTTCTTCCAGACTTTTTTCTCCGGGGGGGGGGGGGGCCACTTAAAATTTTCGAGGGGGGGGGGGTAGACTTTTTCGGGGGGGGGGGGGGGGCGGACACTGATAAAAGTATATATTTTCTATATAAATTTCATTTCGTTCATTTTCTTTCGGGGGGGGGGGGGGTTACCATGCATGCCGAGAAGGCGACAAGAATACTCACGCTTAGGCAGGGACTGGGCGAAAGGCCGGATGATGCCGGACAGGAAGTGCTGAGGTTTGGGCACCATGTGTGTAGCGGTCAGCATCCAGTGCTCACTCATGGCGGTCACTGCTCACCACATCGCCGGATTCTGCTCAAAGCTAATCCCCGTTAATCCACCTTCTTGTTGGGATTTTTAAAGCGTTAATTAATTGAACTTGAGTTTTTCACTGGTAATTGAGTCCTAAAATCCAAATTTAAGCGCGGATCTTCTGTATTTTTAAGGTAAAGTTTACTTACGAATTAAATAAATTGTTCTAAATATGAATTTTAATTACCTGTGTTAAATCACTCTGTAATATAGAAATGATGTAGGCCTATATTATATTAATTAGAGTACGCGATCTCTCAAAATGTATCATTTTAAAATACATAATTCACAAAATAAATAATTGAATTTAAAAAAGGGAAACAGAATTCTCATTAAAAACATTTTACAAAATTTAAATTTTAATAAAGCTAATTTTCATTTATTTTATTAGTTTTTTAAAACATTATTTTCATTTTATTAATTTTAGATTATTTTCGTTAAAGAAATATGCTTGGTAATTTCGAATCCTTAATTGATCTTTAATCCGACATTGTTAATCCGATTTTATTAACTATGCACATTTTACTATCACTAAAAAGCGGAACTTTTAAAAACTACAACTACAATATTTTAAAACTAATTAACAACTTTTATATCTTGGTTTTGTAAAGTAAAATAATTTAAAACAAACAAAAATCTTGAAAAAAAAATCTTAACACTTTAGGGCTATACTTCAAATGAAAAAATAACAACAACACTATGAATTTTATATATAAAAACCCGTTAATATTTACGAAATTTACATGTTATCAATAACTTAATGAACCAGTTATCTTTTACTACGTGAACAATTCACCGTAACGATGCGAGACGGTAGGTTATAAACACTTTGACGAAGTGCGCTAATCCTTACAGGTATCTAAACTGTACTGTCCTCTGACTAGTGCTTGACAGAAGCAAAGCAGGGCTACTACTGGCTGGCACAACGACGGATGCATGATGACTGATACGACGACAGACGCCTGACTGATACAACAAAAGGTAAAAAAAAAAATTCCTCTAGTTCTTATCACACCTGTGTACCGCTTGAAGTACCCCAACCCTCAAGAGACGAGTTTTAGAAAATATGAAAACTTTTTTGAAACAATCTTCGTTGCCGTCTTCATATCTTATCTTTAAAAAAAAATGCGCCCATTCTTAATTAGTTCGTATTTACTAAGTAAATAATGCCACAATTAAAATGCATCTTCACCTAGTAATCGTGTGTTTACTTAAAGTATTAATAATAATTTATCTTTTTTTTAAACATTATTTTCTAATCTTCACCCCAGTTTTAAGTTTAAGTATGTGGTACTTCGTGTTACGGTGAATAGTACTTCGGGAATTCCCCGAAATTATTTCTTCTATACTTAAAAAAAAATTAGGCCTATATCATATAAAGCTTGCACTATATCTAAACAATTTCAGTTATTTTAAATATTTTTTTTATCTTCTTAGAAGTACGTATACTTCTACATACAACAACTTTATTTAACATTCATTTAAATAGTCATAGGGCCTTAATAAATTAATTTAAAATGTAATATTTAGGCTTAAACTTTTCCTATCATTTAGACTAGGCTATCGAATTATTCATTTACAAATACTTATGTGTTAGAAAACAATATCTTCACATATTTTTAACGTAAAATTTAGATTTTTGTTTTGTTTTAGCAGATTTTAAAAGCAAAGTTCGTTGGTTTACTTACGTTAGATTGGTTAGATCTAAGTGACATAAAATCACTCACTGTAATTTTTTTTAATACAGATTTTATATTTAAATTTTAAAATTATTATCGGATTACTTAAGTTATGTTACATACCTATCACTCGGAAATAAAACGTAATTAGTATTTAATTATTCTCACCTAGCCTATGATCTTAATTAAAGTTCAATGCACGAATGAAACCAGGTAAATAACACAGGCGTTCTGCCAAATGAAATTGACCGACACACGAAATGTTTTAAAACACTCCGGTTAATCGACTGTTGTCTAAACGCCCGTACGGGGCTAATTAATTTCCGCGGTTGCTGGTGCCCGGTGGATGATGGTGGCGGTGTGGTAGTGACGGCAGGGGCGACAAGTTTTTGATCCCTGTACCGTCGGGGAGGGCGGAGGGACCATCCCCTCCCACGGGGCAACCGGCTCTTTCGCTACGCCACACCTTCATTGTCTGCGCGCAATCACGCAAGCGACAGGCTGATTGGCCCCCGTGTATGGAAGGGAGGGGAGGGAGGGGGGGGGGGGACACGAATCAATAATGCCATACCTTCCATAACCCTTCTCCTTGTTTTACCTACCCCCACCACCCCTTCCATTTTCTCACCGGGTCGCATATAATCTTAACGGCCTATTTTACAGTATCGGGGGCTGCATTTGATCAACGATATCAACAATCTTTCTCCACCCTCCTCCCCTCCCCTCCCACCCCACACAACACCCTAACAATTTTAGTCACCTTATCACGTTAGTAACATTTTTCTATTACTGCAATAGACTCAATGCTTTCTTACACTAATTAAATTACGAGTAACTTAATTTTGATGGCTAATTAAAACGCCGAGAGGGCATTTGTTAGTATCGAATTCCCTAACCCTTAATGCTAACCCTGACTCTATCCAGCCCTAAACTAAACCCTATCCGTGACCTAACAGCTATACTGCAGGACCCTTTACAGTCTCGGTACCTTTGTATTGGCACAGTCCCTTTAGGTCTCACAATCCTTTTAGTCCCACAGCCCCTTTAAGTATGCCAATCCCTTTTTCACTGTGCCTTTACTGCCTCATTCCCTTTCTCACAGTATCTCTCTCTCCTTGTCCCTTTAAATCTATCAGTCCCTTGCTCAGTCCTTTTCCACAGTACGTTCCTCACAGTCCCTTTATCACAATCCCTTTTCACAATCCCTTTATCGCAATCCATTTTTACAGTCCCTTTATCACAATCCCTTTTCATGGACCCATTATCACAATCCATTTTCACAGTCCCTTTATCACAATCCCTTTTCACAGACCCTTTATCACAATCCCTTTTCACAGTCTCTTTATCAAAATATCTTTCTCACAGACGCTTTAAAAAGTCTACCAGTCATCTTTTCAGTCCCATTCTCACATTCCCTTTTCCAGTCCCTTTTTCACAGTCCCATTCTCACATTCTCAGTCTCACTGTCTCACAGTCTCAATGGTTTCACTAAAATCTCAGTTTCCATTTTCTCACGTGGTCCCGCCGTATCTTCTCCCCCCCCCCCCCCCAACCCCCATTTTCACCACGTCAATAACTAAATCCCCCCTCTCTCCCACACCTACTCTCATCCTACCCCCACCCCCACCCCCTCAACTACAACCCCCGCCTGTCATAAGCTTGCCAGACCCCCCATCATATATGACGTGGTTTATGGTGAATTACCCCTCAAGACCGACGCTCCCGTTCTTCTGTTACGTCCGCGCTGCTCTCAGACCTGCCAGTCATATATCCCAGAGTACACCGCTTGGCCATTACGCAAACCGCCGGTTTCCATCAAGGAAAGGACGCGCCGGTTGTGAAAACCTCGCCACACTCTTTCTCAAAATCGTGACCTCGCGTTAATTATTTAAAAAAAAAAATACGGTAAGGCATGATTAATAATTAATTACCAAAAATAATATTTCTTTTAATTATTAATTTTTTTTTCTATCATTTTAATTTTAACCCCCCGTTTTTGAGAAGCTTATTCATCTGTTTACACATGTTCGCGATGTACGTATTTATGTACGAACCCGCGTTAAAAATACCTGGCCAGGTAATTAATACTCATAAAACACCGAGCCCTGCTCGTGCGCGCCACGTAGCGCCGGGGATAGGCTCACTCACGCTAGCGGCCCTCTCCCCATGCGATGCTCGTGACACGAACGAATCCTAACGTGAGTTAAAAAGGCAAAAAAAAAAAAAATGCACGCCGCAAAGCGCATGCACCAACCAGCACTTCATACAACACTCTCCAAAGCAGTTCTCATACTCGAAAACGAGGCTATTTTTTCCACCCCCCCCCCCCCCCCCTATCCCCCCTTCCCGACTCTTCTTGCTCGTGTATTGCAGGTAATCAAGTGTCAGTATTTTTTGATTGGCAATAAACCAGTCATCACGCTCTATTAGCCGCCACTAGCCGGCGCGGTAAAAAGGGGGAAAGTGGGCGGGGCTTAGCCGTGGCGTCCGCCTGCCATGCGCCGACCAATGGGGAGGCGGCTGGAGACGATGAGCTCGCGTTCGCTGAAGGAGACCGTTTTATTTTTGTCTGTCTCTCTCTCTTTTTATCACGTCGTTAGTTAAACTTGGTGATTCTGTTGTAGAGACGAGCGCCTGTGTTGCCTTTGAACCCATGCGAGTTTATTATTAAACACAATAAGATGCGATTTTAAAAAGTAACAGCACTTAAATTTAGTAGATCCTTTTTTTAAAGGCCTACTGTCATTTAAAAATATAGAAATAGGCCTATATTTAGGACCGATGTTTTTGTCTGTGGCCTAGATGATAATATAAATATATACTTATTTAGTCTAATATATTAGCCTATTTGAATAGGCGTATATTAATAGCCCGGCAATTGATCAGTGTATATTCACCTAAAAAATTACTAATTCAACATTTTCAAACTTGCATACATCATCGAATAGAGCTGATAAAGACATGTAAAACATCTAACTTTCGCCTTAAGAATTTTTGTTTTCTGAGCTGACGGCTCTTGTGGCAAGTGAAGTAGAGTTTACCTGTTTCTGTGACCTCGGCATATAAAAGGATAGTGTGGTCAGCAGTGCAGCATTAGGCCCAGCCGCCTTTTACTTGCCTTTTATTTTCGCCTTAACTCCGTGACTATTTTGAGTTAGATTAATATTTTAAATTATTTTTTTATGAATTTTTTTTCTTCGCTAAAAATACTTAGGGATCTATCCTGTGATACTTTTTGGCCTGCGCGGTCGCTTATGCTTTTTATAGCGAATGCTGGTGTCCCCTCCCCTTCAACACTACGCTGTGTGCTGAGGAAGACCTTGGGTCGAAAAATATTTCCTCTACTTT